GGGAGACTAGTATAGATCTATTTCAAGCTATTTAGCTCTCATCAGCTAGCCATACCCTTACTGGGATTCGAACCTGGGCTGTATTACATATTATTACCCCTGGTATGCCCAAATATGGGAGGAAGCATACTGCTTCCTTTCTCTGTGTATCGGCTCGTCACAAGAGACCATCCTGACTAATATATATATTAGTCAGGGAGCTGAAATTTAGCACAGTTAGTAAGATTGCCTACCCATGTATAGTGGGATTGTTTGGGACTACATTTCCCCTTTGGTAGCTATGAGCCATGACTTGTTATACTCAGTAGGACAGCCAAATTTGAATTTATAGTTGAAGGGAGGTGCGTGTCTAGGGCCACTTTCTATAAAATCAAGATTAACAAAAGTAATTTCTTTGTGTGATAATGACTTAGTGGTTTGCCTTCATCAACCCTTTAAATCAGGGGTCCCCAACCTCTGGGCCATAGACCGGTTCTGGTCCATGTTAGGAAATGGGTTATACAAGTGGCAGGCAAGCGAGTGAAGTTTGATCTGTGCAGGCGTGGGATCTTTCACAAAACTGATCCCTGATGACAGAAAGATTGGGTCACCCCTGCTATAAAATAAACCTACGAAACCAATGCCAAAAAAGGTCACAGCTATTTTTATTGTAATAGTTACAGTAACAGAATCTTGGAAGTCTGAATTTATTTCTGTGGAAACTAGGAAAGGGGCCAATATTGTTTTCTCAAATATTACTTGGCATGAATTCAAGCCCAACTTGTCCTATCATTGCCTTAGTTGTAGCTCTTTGTCCTATTCTTTAGGGCTATTCCTCTGCCCTCTATAGTTCTAGAGATATAGATCAAACATTCTATTGTTGCAATTTCTTCCAAAGTTTGATGTCTATATTATTGAGTCCAGACAGTTTCCTTGTTAAGTAGGGATCTATCAACGAGCAAAATGATGACTTCAGCAAAAAGTTGTCTTATATCCTACATGAGAGTGCATGAATATGGCTATGTTAATCACACAGAAGTCTGCTCTTTCCTGCAGTTTTAACTCTAGTCCAGTTCAGTTTTCTCATATAATTAATAACATCAGGTGTAAATGGGAATATGGTAGAAACTTTGGAAGTGAACAGAAGCATGTTTGGTGGATGCTTCTGAGACCAAGACTAAGTTTTATATTCATTCTGAAGTTGATTTGCATTTTAATGACTATTATTTTTAATTAAAGCCTGTAATTCCTTCCAAGGTGTGTGGGTGTGCCTGAGCCAGGTTGAGCTGGTCACCTGAGAAAGGGATAGGCGGGTGTAATTGCCAGTGGCCCTTTTGGGAGAGGTGCTACAGATAAAATTTGCTAGTGCTAACTTTTTGGTCAATTCCTATTCCAAAAGATAATGTCATTTTATACTGATATATGGTGCACATTTTATACTGATATATACTGGCCACCTAATTAGAAGGAAGGAGTCACTGGGGAAGAGCCTAATGCTGGGAAAGATTGAGGTCAAAAGAAGAAGGGGACGACAGAGAATGAAGTGACTGGATGGAGTCACTGAAGCAGAAGGCATGAGCTTAAATGGATTCCAGGGGATGGTAGAGGACAGGAAGGACTGGAGNAAAAAAGAAAAAAAGAAAAAAGAAAGAAAAAGTGAGAGATGAAAGAAAAAAAGGAAAAAGAGACAGATAGACAAAAGGAAGGAAAGAGAGGGGGGGCACATGGCCGGCAAGCCACTCCCACCAGGTCACATGGCCGGCAAGCCACACCCACAGAGTAGGTTCGAAAATTTTTTGAAACCCACCACTGCTTCCAACTGTTGCCCATCTCACCAAAAGATTCTGGGCAGCACAGCACATCATAACCAGATAAAAATCATCTCCAAACTACTCAGTTATAAAACAAATATAGAAATTTACATTCAGACATAAGTAGCATAAAAAAACACTTACAAACCCCTAGGGAAGAGAAAATAAAAATGGCCACATCAGTAGCTAAACCTGTTTGCTCCGATGTGTTAACATTAACACAGCTAAAGAATAAATTGGCTGGAAACCGACTTCTCCAACCTTCTCTGAATCCTTTTGAATTGGAAAGATTTGAAAACGATTTCCACATTGTGTGGCAAATCCTGACTGATAAATTAATGTAAGCAGAGGACTCTGTAGTCTTGTAATGTTATTAAATTGTAGCTTCCAGCATTGTCCACTTCCAAAAAGTATATTTATCTTATAAGCAAAATTAACAGACAGAAATAAAACAATCTGAGTGAAAATACATTTTCTATACAATAATATACTGAAAAAAGAAGAGGAAAAAAGGTGATTATTATGAATTCTAATGAACAGTATTAACATCTAGCAGCTCAGCCTTTTAACACATTATTAAATCTAGACTATATATAAACTACATAAGATAATTTTCTTAGCTGAGCCTCAGGTCTGATAGAGCCAAAGTTCTTCATAATGTGTAAGAATTCCTATTTTGGGAATTTATCAGCAAGTACATACTTCCCCCAGAGTGTGTTAACTTGCAACCCAAAGTAAACCATAAGGAAATATGAACATATGAGTCAAAAAGCACTCAAATTCCTTTCAAAGCCAATACAGAAAGTCTCATGTCCATCTTTTTTTTTTTTGCATTTTCCATGTTGACTTTGATAGCTGTCCTCAACAACATCTGGAGGACCACACATGCACCATCACTTTAAAGCATGAGTAGCCTAGGGCTGATTTATTTTTGTTTTGTTCTGGCATCCCGTTTTGCTCAGCTTCTCGGCATCACTTTTAATCCCTCACAGTTCCAGACATCTTTCTTAAAGCACCTTTTTTTATTGTTCGCTTACTGAATATTCCTGTAATCATCATTTTAAAAAATCCTATTTTCAGTTGAGTTTCAGTTTTATGAGAGGGGATGATGGTTATGGGCATCATTTTTGGATGTGATGACCTTCATTGCATTGCTGTTGTCAGCTAGGATGATACTAGGGTAGATGGTGATTGACCCAAATTTCTAATTCATCCAAATTGGGAGCTAATTTATATCTTAGAATAAAAGCAAGGAGAGGTTTCAAAGTCTTTGATACAACAAAAGCTCAACACATGGAAAGCTATTCTGTTAAAAAGAATGCTTGAAATATTGTTACTGGACACTCTGGGGAGGAAACCTCTGAGGTTGGTGTGGCAGATACATTCCAACGACTCCCTGCCTAACTGACTTGCTCTGAATGATGAAGCTGCTTGGATAAGCAGAGAAATATCTGAAGTTTACAAAAATTTGTCCAGTTGCCACGATTCAACCTTCGGACACCTGTGCTTGGATGACTGAGATTTTTCATCAACAGAGTGCTAGAAACTTTTTGCAATGGCAAAGCTGCAGATCATACAATAGAAGTAGCTGCTATCATTAAGAACCTGTGAAACCAACGGGAATCAAGGAACACAAATCCTGGAAGTAAACGTTGAGCTTAGTTGTTTTTTTTTAAATTGATATTGATATCTCAGGTTACCCTTTTGGTAAGAAAAATCCCCAGCAAATTTCTTGTTCCAGGTGATCTTCACCTGAGAGGTCATCACATAGCAGATTCACAGACTCCCAAAACTATTCAACCAGTGGGTTCCTGGATTTGGTTTAGTAATATCAGGAGGGTTGTATGTTGGCCACTCTAATAATCCATTCAGTTTTCCAAACTAGCCACTAAAGTACAAAGTATATCCATTCCAAGTTTTAGCTTCTTTAGATTTTCTCTCCCCCTCTCTCCCTCAGACTTGCCCCACAGAAACCTCTCCTATCCTGTCCCCTTCTCTCCCTCAGGCTTGCAACACAGAATCCTCCCCTATCCTGTCCCCCATCTCTCCCTCAGGATGGCCCCGTTGATTCTCTCCAAACTCCCAGCCCACAGGCTGGATGAGTCACATGCTGGCCACGCCCAAGTGGCAGTTGGAACAGAGATCTTTTCAGATGGGAGGGGGGAGCAGAACTCCTTAGCATCAGAGTGTGTTAATAATAATATAAAAAATACTAATGATCAAAATGGTCATTTTGAAAAATCCTTTCTAAGTGAGCACCTAAAAGCCAAGAACAACATACGTGCCACATTTAAAGTTTGTGGGCTGTATGATTCTGGAGATTTCATGATTGCGGCATGAGTGA